GTATCCGCTGTTGGGGAATTATGATTCTTCTTATTCTCAGAATTAGTAGTACTACTCGTATTTTGACTATGACTATCCTGAATCTTCTTATTGTATAGTAGCATTATTCTTACGAGAGATACTACTTAAAGGATCATGGGACTTAGTAAGTAGGGTAACCATACTTATAACCCCAATTAAGGGACTTATAACCTTACTTACTAAGTCCCATGATCCTCCAAGTACGTGAAGAGGAGCTGCAAGTTCGAGGCCTCATAGGTCTTCAGCTCGCGGTGGAGCCAGGGTCCGCTGGCCTCCCTCCAGTCAATGAGCTTCCTTGGGCCCACATTCTGGGGGTTTAGGGAAGTTTAGGGTTTAGGGTGATGTGGTTTAGGAAAGTTTAGGTTTTGGGGTTATGTGGTTTTGCGTGGGGTTGCTAGCGGTGCTGAGCCAGCATCGTCTTGGGGTCCATTAACCCCCTCCTACACAACAGGCGGTAGCAGCAAGATTTGCAGCTGCGTATGGCCCACCTCGCGAAGATGCCGTTAGACTTTACATGGCCGACAAGCCGCACTATTGCCCCAGCTGGATGTCCGTTCAGCTCACACTCAACCTCGTAAACGTTGCCTTGGCGTCGGAACTAACGGTGCAACAAGGCTCCGCTTGCTTGCGCGTGAAAACGTGCTCGGCAAGAGCCGGAATTAGTGTGATATAGGGCCCACTGTGCTATATTCATAACAAGGAAGCCCCACAATAACATAGCAATGTCTTCTTCTTCTGGTGGACTCCAGGGCCCTCATTAGGGCGCGTCCCAAACATAGCAATGAGGAATTATTTAGGCCCCGACGGCCTGCTCGCAGAAGTATATTGCGCCGGGCTGCCGAGACCACTCCAAAGGCCTTGGAGGCATCGGCTCCGAACCTGCAGCTCTGGGCTTTTATGGGTTTTGGGGGTTCCTAATTATATATAACTGTAGTATACTAAAATATATAATTGTAGTATACTATAATATATAATTGTAGTATACTATACCCCAAACCCTATTCTGTTATTTTAAGGCCCCCATATACCTCTTTTCAGTCTTGAGTTGAGAAAACCGGTGAGTGGAGAGGGCTTAGGGGTTTTTGGGTTCCCCAACTTCCGATAGAAGGTGCTCACTTAAGCTCCCTTCTGATGGTCACAAGATTTCTGTTCTTGCTCCATCTCACTCCCATGCATTCTGCACATTCCCAGCGCTCGGCGCGCTGCTGAGATGCAACCCTCCGAACTCCAGCAAAGATCCGCACCCGTCGACGCCTTCGTAGCGTCCCAGCCGCATCGTTCCAGGAGCTGCACCGCCGCCTCCTCCCCGAATGCAGCGGAGGAGGGCGGGGGGAGGCTGCTCCAGCTGCTGCTCCTCCAATATCCAAAAGCGGAGAGTCCGATCCGGTGAACAGTCTACAGTCATCCTCTTAATTATTTTTTCTCATAAGTTATGACAGGGCTCCTTGAGCCGCCAAGGCTGCTCGGAGCGGAGCTCTTTTCAGCCATCTGTGCCCGATATGCAGTCCAGTCCACTACAGGTTACTTCTTTTCCTTACTGCTTCTGTCTTGTCCGGCTTGCAAAAATTTCCAGTTGCAAGACTAAGGTCGGGAGACTTGGAGCAAGTTGAGCCAACGGCCAAGAATTGATTTCGATCAAGGCTTGCAAGCGAGCGAGGCCCATCCTCCCAGACCATGAGCGACTTGTATCTCTTCAGGGGAAACCACCTGGTATCTTTCAGAAAAACCACGTCAACGAGGGCCATGTCATGTTGTCTCGTTGACCTATCGTCTATCGTGCTTCCAAGATGCCACTGCGGGAACTTGATGATGAAAGGCTCCTTCGGGACCTCTGCAATCTCTTCGACCTGATTCCGGTCTTACACAACTTGATTGAGACAATCTCGACAAGAGATGTCAGATTTATCATGAGCATGGCTCAGTCCTGGGCAAGAACACGCTTGCCACCAGACATTTTTGGCAGCCACTTCTTCTCGCGCTCTTGGCTGCGGAAGGGCTTTCGCGGCCAAGACAGGGTGCAAGGCAATGTAGACATGATTTTCAGACGGTCCAAAAGGAAGTAATCCGTTGTTGAGCATCCTGCGCTATCGCCCTGTGAAGACACTACCGGCACTGCTTCGGAGCTCACACCCTACCAGGATCTGAGACCCGAAACCTCTCAAAGGTCGGCTGCCCAGTCACTTACCCACAGGTATTTGCCCATGTCGTAGCCCTTGACAGTGGTGCCCCATTTCTTGCCCTCCAGGGGCTTGTACCTCCAAGAAATGACGTGAAACGACTGTTCTGCAACTCGGTGTCAAAATGAAAGGAGACAGAGGATGACAGGGGCAACACTCGGAATTCAGATGCACCACACACAAGTGGCGTGTGCATATCGTGTGCCAACAATGCATCAAGAGCAAGTAGAGCAACATCAGCAGGAGCGACACCAGGAGTCAGGAGCCCGATCCATACACAGGAGAACACCAGCGAGCGTGGCAGGACCAAGCTTCGTTACAAGCAAAAATTTAATTAAGCTTACCTGTCCAGTGACACTCACACAAACGCTGCCGCTTAATCTGACGATCGGCGACGACGACAACGACAAAGCACAGCCAGCAACAAACAGCTGGGACAAATTGTGACAACCAGTACAAACCAGTGACGAGAAGCTTATCTGGTAGGTTTCATCTGGTAGGTTCTTTTGGTTTTCTCGGTAGGTTTCATGGCCAGCACAGAGGAAACAGTCACAGCGATGGAAAAAAAAGTGATAACAACAGGAACATGCAAAACAGTAGTAGCGTCATGGCACATGCACGTAGTTTTTGCACCAAATGACAGCTTATTCGCAGATACAGCTTGACACCTCGAAAAAAAGAAAACCAACACCATAGAACAAGCAGGAACATCCAGGTAGGCAGCAGCATCGAAAAGACGTAGCCATAGTAGCAACGAGAGATCGCAGAATAGCTGTCACAACAGACACACCAGCACGACAGCCCGTATGGGAACCCGAACTGGGGCTCCAAGCTCCTTCTTCTCCTCGTCCCACTCCATCTTTTGGCCCAGGAAAGGCAGCTGCTCACCAGCCTCGGTCGGGCTGAAGGCATGCGGCTTACGGATTGAAGGCCACATATGCACCGAAGCACGACGAACAACCCGAAACTGAGATTCTTGCTTGTTGACAGCCCGCTTCAACCCTGAAGCCCTCCTCTCCCCAACTAAACTTCCCAGACATTTGAAACTATGAAAACCCACAGCAGTGTGCCTTCTTCCTGTCGATCTGCGCATCATCGACCAGGAACTCACGCTCTCCCGGCTCAAGATTCCGCTTCTGGGGCAGGTGTTTCAAAGACTCGAACACCCTGTGTCAGACACGACACATGCAGACAGGGTTCTGTCTAAGAGGCAAATGGAACAAGATGTCGTACGTCACGCAACATGGATATTTCTAGTGTTTCACGATTGTCCATCATCTGAAGCTGTCGCTGCCTATGTTCACATGTGTGCGCTCATGCATACATACCTTCACCGCGACATGTCTACATACGTACCTGCCTAGCTAGCTATACCTAGCTACCGAACAACCTGGCTACCTAGCCACCTACCTACCATACATACACACATACACATACACGTACACATAC